GCCTCCCGGAGACCCCACCCTCATCGCCCTCATAGTGGAGCAGCTCAAGAGCCGTGGCCTGTTCGATAGCTTCCGCCGGGACTGTCTGGCCGACGTGGACACCAAGGTACCGGGGCCGTGGGGGGCGAGGCGGGGCGGTGCACCCTGCTGTTTTGACATGCTAGAGCCGGTAGTAAAACAAAAGGCAGCTCGGGAGCACCCACCCTACCCGGGATGCGCCGCGGGGAGCTGTAACGGCGCTTTCGGAGTGGTGCACATCTGAGCGCTGCTCTCGCCCTTCACTTACCAGCTGTGATTTTTGTTCCATTCGCTTTTCTGAACTTGGGAGATTCTTTTGCAGCTGCACGCATATAACCCCTCCATACCAAAGAAACTCTTACAGTCAGGAAAGGCTTTAGAAGCTCTACCCAGTTCTTGTTCACCACCAGGGAGGTGATTTTAAGCACGGAATGGCTTGGACGACACGGTAATTCTCTGTCCCCAGCGGAATAATTTGCAGACCTGTATTCAGTCAAATGGGATAAGCTGTAAAGTCAGCACCCTTATTTTGTATCCTTTAGCTAATCAAAAGGGAGTTGATGCCTATGTTAGACCTAGTGCAAAAGCCAGTCTCTGCGGTAAAAATACAAATTCACCTTACTTGAGAAAGTTGTTTGGAATGGGTATTAAGGGCCAGGTATATAGTAATAGCCAGAACATTCCGTTTCTCTTTACAAAACCAGGTTGCCAAGATTAAGGTGGTGGAGTTAGGGGCCTGTTTACTGACTGAGAGGGCCCCCCAGGGTAGTGGTTGTTCCTCAGTTGTTAGGGCTGCATGTCACCCAAGCCAGCTGGTTTAGATAGGCATCAGCCAGTGGCTTGGCTGTCAACTGCAGGCCGCCTGGGCCTGTGTTATGGCTTTGATGGCAGGGTTAGGCCACAAGCTGCACAGCTAGGCCATCCTTACATGTTCTCATGTAGGGACCAGAGCCATGCCTGAAGGCACAGCCTCAATTCAGTCCTGGAGTAAGTGACACACCTCAGGTGAGGAGGTATCAACTGCCTTCAGTAGGAGAGGAAGGAGACTGGAATCTCAGAATATGCATTTCTTGTACTCACTAGGTAATTTCCTAGTCTTGTTCTCAAGCATGTAGAGCAATTAGAGTAAGTACCTCAGGCTCCTTTGTGGGCCACAGCTTTGCCTGGAAACTCTGCACAGAGCTCCCTTGGCATTAGCTGTAGTGACTCTTGCTGAGGTTTGGGTGGCCCTTTCATTTGGAGGGACCTTTCCTTGGTGTACTGCTTCGAGCACCCACTGTGAGTCAAGCAGGCAGGAATGTTTGCATTCTGTGGATGGAAATTACTGAAACTCAGAAGTCAGGTGAAGTCACCTTGGCCTAGAACCAGTTCCTTTCTTTGGAGAAACAACCTGCATCTGTACTTGGCCACATTGCAGCTGGAGGGCACCTTTGTTTACTCTTCCAAGCCTGAATGTTTAATGTCTAAATTCAGGCAGAATAAATACTAATAGGTCCTTCCTTGTCGAGTTCCTTTAAAAGTAGATTGACTTATACTGGTAATGCCCTGGACTGTGCCGAGCCACTGCAGGGTGAGTTCTGAGGTCAGGTGGAAGTGTATTTAAATGAGAAAATGTGTTTCTATGAAAGGCAGTGTTCCAAATGGCTCGGTTCCACAACTTTGGCACATGCACTGACTTGGTCTCTTCTGAATGTCTCAGCCAGCTTACCAGAACCTGAGGCAAAAAGTGGATAATTTTGTGTCAACACATCTGGACAAACAGGAATGGAATCCTACAATGAACAAGAACCAGTTGCGAAATGGGCTGAGGCAGAGCGTGGTCCAGTAAGTAAATCAGTGAGGAAACTGGTTGTTCCAGCATGCTGCTGCACAGGCTGACCTCGGTTCATGGGACTCCTGGTCGATGGTGCTTTGTAGCTATCTGCTGTCTCGTGCATGGGGGAAGAGGAGCAGAGCCCTGGAGTACCAGCTGCTCGCTCTGGGCGTCTCCTGGATGTGCACATTCAGTGGTAACTCTGGAACATCTTCAAGATTATGAGGCTTGGTTCATTGTCATCTGAACAGGAGAGTTACTTTTATGCCATGATGTCAGTGTTTGGGTGCAGGCCAGCAAAGTGAGTTCTGTGTGTTCTGTGACCATGGCTGCTAAAGTATGGTGACAGTTTGCAGAAAGTCCTGTAAGATATTGTCCTTCACAGAAACAAACTAAACCTTTGCTAGAGAAGGCTCTGTAGAGAACTTACATGAGTGGCCTGATTATCACTGGCACGCTGGGCGTGGGTCATGGATTCCAAGGTAAGTTTTTTCTGATCTGTTTCAGAATCCATCTTGTCTTTTAACACCAGGGATTATATTCGGCACTTCTTAATCCACTGAATTGTTGAGTAAAGGCTCATGAAGCAGGACCCTGAAAATAGAAGCATCAAGGGGTTTGTGGTGAGAAAAGCAAGTCGTGGAAAGCTGAGGAATGACTACATTTGCTACTGGTGCAGAGATGTGTGGCTAGTGGTAGCTGTCCAGGGCATGAAGGGAGTTGGAGTGAGAAAGCTGGAGTGCTGGAGTGCTGGGCTCTAATGATACTGTTGGGTATCTTATTTGTGCTGGTGCGTACCCTAAGCAGCTCATGTAGTGAAGTTGTGCCGTATTAACCTCCCACCCCCAGGCTCCTATGGTAGAAGTTGATCCCCTGTGAGTTGACGTGGCAGGAGCTGGTAGAAGGTGTTGAGATTATGTGGCCTTCACCTTTGTGGCACTGAATAAGTTGTTTAAGATTCAGTTGTTGAGTTCAGTCAAATGGGATACCTGTTACACTCCTGTCATCCCAGCCCTCAGGAGGCTGAGGCAGGAAGATTAGGAGAATCAAGTAGCCTTGGTTATGTAGTGAGTTCCTGGGGGAGGGGGGAGAGATTGAGATTAAAAATAGAAAAGGATTTTGCTGGCTAGTGCGATAGCACTCGCTGTGGCTTATGACCACTGAAATCTTTTGTAAATGAAGAATATTAACACCCACGTAAAGCTCTGTTTGCCCTAGGTGAGTGTGGCATCTAAAGCTGCCCACATTGTCTCTCTCAAGCTGCACAGTACTGCTCCCTTTCTCAAGGTGAGCTCTGTTAGTGTAGAGGTCTCAGAAAGAAGGGGCCAGTAGCTGTCCTTTATTGAGCAACTACACATTGCATGCCCAGTCTTTATGTGTCTCACCAGTCATCACAAACATCTCATCTGGTTTGTATTGGATGTAGTAACCGAGTTGCTGTTGGAAGCCACTTCTGTTCTGGCTGCTAAGAATAAATGCTGAGGAAAACTAAGGCATAACAAGACTTGCTGCCTTTGTCACTGTGACTGCAGTTTCACCCTACACCTGTGGCCAGGCTCTTGCCATTTGTCACATGTGTTGTTGGCCTTTGGTGCAGTCTGCATAACTTTGTTTCCTTTCTAAAGAGTTGAAACTGCATTAGGAATGGTGGGTAGCAGGTGGCTGTGAACTGCTCAAATGAAAGGCCAGTGGCCTAAATGGGGAAAATGGATATTTGCTGGGCTCTTGAATGGCCCTTGGGGCTTATTTATGCAATGGGGAACTCTTGAGAACTAAATAACAGTAGTTTGTCTTATCTCCACAGGTCAGGCATGTTGGAAGCAGGAGTAGACAGGATCATTTCTCAGGTGGTGGACCCCAAACTAAATCACATCTTCAGGCCACAGATAGAGCGAGCAATCCACGAGTTCCTGGCAGCCCAGAAAAAAGAAGCTATGCCAGCTCCCCCTCCAGAACCTGAAAGCCAGGATCCTCCAGCGCCATCCCAAGACACTTCTTAAGGTTTAGTACCCCATCTTTCCTCTCTGGCTAGTTGATGGTTAGAAACGGGGTAAGCTGTGATTAGACATCATGTTTTACACGTGGGAGTGGAGTTCACCCCAGGGAGCCATCCTCAGTGAATTCAGCTCTAGCTGCTCCCATATTGGCAACTGTGCTCTGCACCAGTGGAGCCGAGCATCCAAGTCATCACAGGAAACCTCATCAGGAACCACTGTGGCAACTGGTTTACACAGGGGATTTGTGGAGGTCATCTCTGAGATTGCTTACCTGTGGCTCTCCCCTGGCTGACATTTGTGATTTTTTTTATATGAAATCAAGCAGCAATCCCAAATGCTGTCTCAAGTGAGAACTTTGCATGGGCTCTGCGTTTCCAAGTTGCCCCTGTGGAGAGCCATGCAGCTCTCTGTTCTCTTTGTCCCAGGTTTAGGATTTTATCTAAACTTTAAAAATAGCTGGAGATATAGAGGTGGATGCTGTGCCGGGTTTGGGGAGCCACCGTATGACCAATAGATCCCTCACCTGCCATCATCACACCCCTGGGGTGTTCTAGTCCCTTGTGCTGCTAGTAAGTCTTTGAGATATTGATACTAATAAATTGGGTAGGGAGGCAGGTGATCTAGGCCTTTGAACTTGAGCAATTGCGGGTTGTGCTGTGCCTCTTGGGAGAGATTCTTATACTTTGGTTGTGAGCCTAGCCTTTAACGGCTGAGCCATCTCTGCAGCCCAGGAGAGATTCTTGATTCATCCTGGAGTGTAAAATATTTATTTATGTTAAATCTTTAATTCTTTTAGGAATATATAATTAGTGAATATAAGCCCTTATCAAAAGTAGCGTTTTGACATTTTCTTTTTCTTTTTTTTTTTTAAGAATATGCCTGATACCTTTGGAAAACTCCATTTAATGAAGAAACGAAATGGATTCCTGATTCATATGAATATAACTTGAGTCGACCATGTCACTATACTGATGTCAAGATTTTGGCCTTGACTGGGGTGGTGTACACATTCTATGGAAAGCTCATGCATTGTGCCACCTTTGACCAGCCTGTCCGAGGGTCTGACCACAGTAGACACTACAGAGGTTTAAGCACTACATGACCTGGGCTATCCTGAACAAACCTCTACACTTGAACACAGACCCTGCATGTGGATGTTAGCGCTTGTGCTCTGCAGTATGCAGAAGCCAGGCTGCAGCAAGCCGGTCAGGACAGCAAAGGGCAATGGGAGCAGCTGATATTGTTGCTAGAGTTACAGGCTGGAATGCGCAGCAGTTAGCGTCAGTAGCCCTAAGGTTGTTGTGACCTCCTTGTGCTTGGAGATTTTAGTGGTTTTCTTTCTCTTGTCAGAGGTAGCTTGGAGCCCTGGAGTGAGTGAGTTAAGTTGAGACTTGGGGACAAGGAAAGCCCCACTGTCTCTGTCCTAGCGTCTCACTAGCCGCAGGGGCAAGCGAGTCACTCTGGATGTGGTGCTCAGTTCTCATGTTTGTTTTTAGAAGAACAACCGTTAATAAATAGCAGATGTTTTACAATAAAGTCATTTGATGATCTTTCCCTAAAGCCCCAACAGAATCTTAGCGCCTCTGTCTGTGGAGGTGACTTACTTCCTCTATCTGCCTGCTATCTCCAGACAACCTGTGATTGGTGGGAATGGAGGATTGCTGGTTGGAACTTAGAAGCACCCTGGTTCAGGCTGGCTGATGCAGCTGGTCAGGGCCAGGCAGTGTCTTGTTGAATGTTCTGACTCATCTCAAGCTTGGATGAGTAAATACCAGTGCCCCTGAGTGTCTCAGGACAGGGTGGGAGAGCTAGGTGTTATTGGCCTGGGGTGGGGTCAGGTGAGAAGGGGATAGGTTGCATGTGTGGTCAGAAGACAACTTGCAGATAAAGGTTCTCTTTCTGCCACCTGTGTCCCAATGATTGAATTCAGGTGATGGGGCTTGGTGGCAAACACCTTTATTCATTGGCCCAAAAGTTTGTATCTCACAAGCTCCTGGATGATTCTGAGCCTTGGGTATAGCAAAGATTGCTTCAAACTAAAAGTCCTTGTTCTTAGTTGAGTACACTGGATATTGTTTAACTTGTTAGGTTTGGAGGTTTTGTGGTGCTGGGGTTAGAAACTGGTGTCTTACACCTGTTGAGCTCATGCCCAGCCCAGATAAAAGGAATGTTTCCCTCTGCCTTTACCACAAAGACCCTCAGTGGGACTTTATTACCTTCCAAGAACTCAGGAAGATTTTTGCAGCACCTGCCTTTGTGTTAAAAGCAAGCTGGCTCCACCCTCAGCACAGGTGGAAGCCACCTCAGAGGTGTGATCTATTTACCTCTCCTGGATACAGTAACATCTCCATGGAACAAGTTGCTGGCCTTGTCAGGACAGGAACTGAAATTCCAGCAGCTGGGGACAAAACAGTCCTCTACCCCACTGCACACGCAGAAGGTGTGTGTCACTCTCCAGAGGGTCTTCCTAAGACTGTACAGCCATCCCATACTGATCCCACCCAAGAAAAGATGGCAGAATATCAGTCCAGAGGAAATTCCTACCTACAGATGCTCAGTGGATCCCTTGTGTGTTTTAAGCAGGCAGGTTTTGGTGAGCATTCTTGCTTTGTTTTTCCCATTCCTGAAGAAGACCTGGTTGGATGCCCAGAAGTGCAGACTTTACAGGTGCCTGCCAGGAGCTCAGGGTCTCCACAGTTCTGTCCTCCACTAAGAATCAGTGAGGCTGAGCTGAGGAAAACAGGGCTTTGTCAAACTAGAGAGACTTGTGCACACTTAGATGGGCGTTTGACTCTTACCCCAATCAAGAGGAAAGAAGTGCCCATGTTCCCCAGGTGGATGTCTTCAAACTACTGGAGGCATAGTCAAGACAGCCCAGTAAGGCTCTGGCAAGAAAGACTACTGCCTTAGAAGTGGGTTGCCAGCCAGATCTGTGTAGACCCCTGGATCCTTAAGCTTTGGATATTGGGTTCATCACACAGGACCTTAGGGGAAATCATGATCCAAGAAGTAGGATAATTCTTCCCAAAGGAAGGTTAGCCCACCAAAACTGCTTCACCTATTAAACACCCTTACCGCATACATTCTGGTTTTTAAAAAATATTTTAATTGTTCCTTTAAGAATTTCCCACAATGTAGTTTGATCATATTCACCCCAACTCCTGTATTCATTTTTCTGCAAGATGTGATTTGTCACTGGCCTCCAGTGAGCAAGTTAGGCTTCTCTATGTGGAAAAGCCATTTCAAGAGCTGAGTGGAGCATGGGGCTGACCTCTAGGACATGATCAGACTGGGAAACAATAACGATTTAAGCAGGAAGGGCCTTGGTTAGGGGCAGCAGAGTGGCGCCCTGTTCTGAAGCTCACTTCTCTTGCTTGAACCAACATCTGGGGTTGCTGCTGGAGACTTAAGTTCCTGGCATGCTTCTAATTACCAGCTTGGCACTGACCCAGACTACCATCTCCTAAAACCAGTTGTTTGAACTCTAGATGCTCAGTGT